AATTCTAAAAAAGGGGTGTCGCTGGAATGATAAACGTTGATCGCTTAATCAAATAAAGCACTGGTTGCTCGAGGAAACTTTTAATGGTGAAAAGTTCCTTTGTTCATGTACAGTGTTCGATATCGGTACAACGAGGACAAGCTGTATCCATTTACATGTTCCTGTTACCTTTGTGTATACAGGCTGGCCCACGTAAAACAGGCAACCTAATTATCTTCTCCAGCTGATACGGTGATACGACAAAATTTTTACACTTTTTCATAAATGCTAGAGAAAATTTTTATAATTTCTTTTTTTATTTTTAATGACCTTGAACAGTAAAAATTTCATTTTTCGTCGTTTCTTCCACCGAACAAATTTTCTCCTACCACCATAGCTGAGGCAGATATTTAAGTGGCCTGTTTTACGTGACCCACACTGTGTATACACCGCTATTCATAAGTATTAAGACACCTATTACGCTCGTACAGAAAGTATTACACGATTTAAATGACATTTCTTCGCCAAACTTAGTATCGTATACGTACAAGTAAAAATGATAGATTTACGAGGAAAATAGAAGAGGACAAAGTTCGTTCAAATTTTGCAATAATTTTCTAATGATTGTTCTCGGGTTTGTAGCTTACAAGCATCGTAATACTTATGAACGTGAGTGTATATTTTTATATTTTTCTATAAATATATATATATACATATATCTGTGTATTTATATGTTTATATTCATATTTATATATGTATACGGATTATTTACAAAACTCGTTACATGTATAAATGACAAAATATCAGAAGCAAGTAGCTGTTTCGTCTAAATCATAGTGAAAAGTGGTGTGAGTGAATTCCTGAAATTGACGATTCACGAGAAGAGTGTCGTCGTACGTGAGCAAAAGCGAAATCGAGGGAAACGAACCGGGGGTATGTGTGTGTGGGGAAAAAGTGGAAACGCACAGTGTTTCGGTTGCCAGAGCCTCGTCATTCTGGCAAAAATGATAATCCCACGGATTATGCGGCCGATGAATGAGACGAGGTTTCCAAATTTTACAACGTATATTTAGTCTCCCTAAATTTGTGAAACCTTGATACTCTTGAAATACGCGGAATTCACGGAGGATGTCATTTAGAGCGTGGAGAGAAAGACAGAAGGGAAAATCGATGAAGCCTCCCGACGGCGTAACACCAGAAATGAACGGTTAAACGGAGCGAAACTCAATTTTTTTCCTCGTCAAAGGAACGCTTCTTTTTTTCCTTCGAGGTAAGTTAGCTCGAAGGAACGCAAAAGAAAACGCGAGACGAAAAAGAAGTGAGAGCCATCGAACGATAAACGGAATAACAATTCCCTTTCTTAATCAATTAAAACGATCCAAGAGTTAATTGATTAAAGAAAAGTTTTCAATCGGTCGAGAAACAGACGCGACAAATTTCGTTACATCTGAGTTGCGCGTGCAAATTGTGTACTCTATTGTGCCAGCGAGGAGAAAAATATGCGAATTTGCTTAAGCGGGCGCATCGGTGGAAAAAAAAGTGATTCTTTTAGGCTTCGCGAGGCAAGACGATCGATGAATACGTGTCCAGGAAGAATTCTCGAATGAGAAATCTTTCGCGTACATATTTCGTTGCATCCTCTCAAGAAACGTGGTATGCTTTATACAGGGTGTTTCAAAACCAACGTTCCATCCTTAAGTTTCCTTAAAAAGAAAAAAGAAAAATAATAAAGACTGACCTTCGTATAATCTGGGAAAACAATAAAAAGAGAAAAAAAGAATATGTGATCTCTACTAATTCTTAGATCGTAAATAAAAATTTGTCAAATAAAGATGATATATTAAGATTAGTAATTACAAGACTATTCTCGAGACACCCTGTATGCGAGAAATAGAAAAAAAAAAGTGATTCTGGTCTCTTGATAGGTATCTCCCGAAGAACTTTTCTTCGCGAGCAATTTATAATGACACGTTACTCGACCAGTTATCTCAATCAACGTCCAACGTAAAAAATGGCGAAGCAACGACACTGAAAAACGTTAAAGATTTCTCAAGTCAGCGAAACATGAATAAAAAGAAGCGTGCTCGAGGGAACGGCAACGTAAAAAAAAAAAAAAAACGTAAGAGAAAAGAAAAAAAGTTATACGAACGATCGAGGGATAGAGAAGAGAGTGAGAATCAACACCAATGGTGTGTGTCACACGGGTTGTTCCAAAAATTTTAGCCATTTCAATTCAGCGACAATGACAGAAATCATGTCATTATTATTTCAGACAGCATTTTTTCGATCCGTATCCCAGATCTCACACGTAACATCGACGTCTCTGTTCCTATTAATTAACATTATACAATTATGTACGTACGAATGTATAAAATTCTGTTTTGTTTTTGTTTTTTTTTGCATTTTTTTTTATCATTTTTACGACTAATACGGGAATGTACGATCCGTTGCTCGCCGCCGAGCGTCGTTCGCGACGCCCGTTAAGATCATCGAAATATCGTTACAACGATTTTTTTCCTATAAATACGACAGTGCAAAATTCATCGAGTACGAACTCGTCGAGATTTCAATCGAATCGATCGATCGACGTGACTTGTTCTCCTCCCGCCTTTTTCTCTTTTTTTTTTGCATCTTTTATGCTCGTTTACATGTAGCACACATTTGAGATGAAAGAAACGCGAACCTCGTCGAATTCGAGCTCGACAAAACCGAAAGTAACATCGTTCGTTACTTACGGGAATGTTTCTCGTTATATTTCGAATTAACGAATAAAATTAAAAAGAAAAAAAAAACAAAGAAAGAAACGAACTTGCTCACAGTGGCTCCATTGTTGATCATTGTTGTCACTTAACCTCGTTCTTGCATATTTCATGCTTGACGATCGTTGCGTATTCCGTACGTTCAGTCACCGCAAGTGTATACAGTTACATTATGATCATGACATCTACGTACGAATATGGCACACCTACGTGTGAATTCGTCGCTGTTCGAACGGTCTTTGAATCGGACCACATTCCGCATTAATAGACGAAGAGGTGGTTTGCACGCTGGAAACTCAATCGATGCCAAACAATAAGCTTAGACGTGAAACAATAGTAACTCCGCGTTAACAGACTCGCTTTTGCGTAAAACGTGTTCGTAGAACAATCCTATTTTGCCTTTCGATAGTTACTATTATACATTATTAAAAAACAAATAACTACATCACAGTTCTAATGGCTCAGTCGTTCGATCTGTTGTTGTATCGTAGTCATCGAATTTCATTTTAACCCCTCGTTTTAGAACAGTAACAACGATCATCAGAACCATTGTCCATTGAACACACATAAAATATTCTTATTGTTGTGTGATAATTTTAAATCATGTTTTTTTTTATCAGAAAGAAAACATTGTACAGTTAAGGATAACGCAGCAGGTACAAGAGCAAAATGGTGTTACGGTTTGACGATCGGTTACCTGTCCTGTGACAGTAGTAGTAGTAGTATTCTAATAGTTGTCGAGAAATAAAATGAAATGTTCATAAATACCTTTTATAAATACAGACGAAAGCTGATACACAAAATACACTACGCGATGAAAAACACGGACCTTCGTCTATTATAGTCACTTTTTTTTTCAAATATAACATGCATCGCGTAAAAAAAGATAAAAGCGATTTGTGTGAACGCCACGGCAACCATTGAATAATTCTCGAAAGTATCGATAGTCGATCAATATCATTACGATTCTCGTTATATAAACTTTTCGTAGCTTACAATCTTATAATCTTTATGTACAATGTTCGCATTATGAAACTTGAAAAAATGTTTGTGAGAATCTAAGTACTGTTCTTAGCCTTTAGTATTCCCGTGATCTGTTATAAATCCGGAAATCTTCAAAGATTTACCTTAATAATTAGAACCGTATCGATATATCCGCACAATCCCTCTGACATAAATGCTTATTTAGCTGCACGTCTTGAAAAAATCGCGAGTACATGTAACGTCTTTCGTTTCCTTCATCCCCCTTTTTTTTTCTTCGCTTTTGTTTTTCATTCAGACGGAATGGATATATTATGGATTGTATCACCAACGAGCTTAAGTAGCCCTAGTACATCAAACTGAGTATTCGGAAATACTGGTTCGAGAAAGAGATTTTACATCGATCGGATGCAAAGTAAAAATACTTTCGAGACTAAAAATCGATAATCGATAATCGATTAATCTATTAATCGAAAAAATTAAATTACTGGTTAGAGATATTTCGTAATATTTTTTTTGTTTTTTTTTTTTTTGTTTTTGATATCATTGCTATATAAAAATGCGCATGAGTTAGAGAAAATTTGTATACCTCGTACATTTTATGATAATGTCTTTAACACGTTTTATACGAATATTTTTTGTTATAAGATTGCGCCATTTCTCTTTCTCTCCATTTCTCTCGCTTTTTATCTTTCCCTTTCTCTCTCACATCATACACGCACGTTGCATAGGATAAACTGTTTCTTAAATATATAGAAATCATAAAAACAGAAAAAGAAAAATAAAAAGAACAGAAGAAATCTGATTAAAAAAGCAACATCGACCTCACTACGAGTATTCGCTATTATCAAATATCGATACTTACTGCTAAATACATGTTAATAAATACAGCGCTCTGAATACATCCAACATGATACATGCATACTGTTATGACACATGGATTGACTTTTTTTTTATTATTCGCATTATTATTGGGCCTGCAAACAGCCATCATTAGGACCATTAATCTATCACTCTGTCAGTCATACTTTTCGTAATGGAACGAGTACGTAAACTTAAATTAATTTGTTCCGTCTTTTTTTTGCATCATGAGAATTATCCTAATCGTAGCTCAAACGCACTACGATGAAGTCATGGTATATAAACATATCGAGACCAATTGTTATTCGTAATCATAAGGACTAAACATTATGGAAATAATAAGCATCGTAGTGACGCATAATCATTTCCTGTTGCTCATACAAGTTCTAATTGTACGGCTCGAAATCGTGTAGTCTTTCACTACACCATTACGATAGCTTCTTCACCACAAAACAGGAAAGGATATTGATCGATCATCGTTTGAACAACATCTTCTAAGTATGGTCTCATTGCCTCGAATCTGCCAAGATCGTTAAATTCTATAGGCAATAAAGTAGGCCACCAGCAGATTGCCAAATTTTTACTATCCATACTGTTCAGCTTACAATTTTCAGCCACTCTAAAAATTCATTAAAAGAATTGGTCAATTGCAATAACTGATAATCACATAACCTTAAAAACCTTTGTAATAATTAAAACTTACTTTACAAAATGATGAAAAACAAATTTAAGTACATCGAAATTCACTGGATTCAACTTGTTGAGCATCAAACGTAGGGCCAATAATCTGCAGCTTCGATCTATGATAAATTCACGTATGTTTATTGTAAGACTATAGTTAATTTTGTTTTTATTAAATTTGTACGACACTTACCTTCCATATTCATACATGTTGCTGACATCGGTTTGCTGATACCACGAGCGCCTGGACAGCAAAAAAAAAACCATTGATCTTAAATTAGCAAAAAAAAAGTTGTATTAATATTAAAACTATTATATCTTACCCGAGATATCCTCGAGTTCGCTCATACGCTCTTTGTCAATTAATGGTGGTAACCTCTTTGAAAAGAAGTCTTTTAAAGCAGTTGCAACAGCATTTACAGGTATATCCAATGAATGTATATCCACGTTTTCATCTACAATAATTAAATATGTAAAGAACAATAGGAGAAAAAAATTAATAGTCAAAGTTATGAAAGAACTTACCCTCTTCAAACTTTTGAAAGAGGAGTTCAACGTGTGATCTGTTTCCAGGAACCCTATATATACCTTCAGAATCTAATCCTTCATCCTCAATAAATTGCACACATTTTTCGAGAAACAGAGGTATTCGATTTGTCTCACTCTGTGCAAAATCTTCGATTAGCGGTTGTTGCACTTGACTCATACTTAATGTTCCGCCAGAACCTTTAGTTTGTTTTATTTTTTCTTGCTTCTTCTTCTCTCTTTCCTTTTCTTTCTCCGCATGTTTCTTCAGTTTTTCCTCTTTTTGTCGGCGTTTCTCTAACTTCTCGTCTTCTTTTGCTTTCTGTTTATCCTTTTTTCTGTTCAATTTATCGCCATCTTTGACCTTATTTAAAATACCAAACCAAAATTGAATGTCTTTCAAAAAATTTATGCAAAGATTTATCTGTACATTTTCGCACGTCCTTTTTACTTACACTAGGAGAATTAATTTCTCGCGGAGACGAAACGTCTAGACTGGATTCATCATCTGGAATGTTGCCAAAGGTATTGTCACTCCTTTGCTTCGCTAAAATAACAATACTTTCATGCAATATCAAATACATAATAAGAAATAATACTGAGCAAACCTCTTGTCGTATCCTGTCTGAACCATCTTAAAAATAATTAGAAAAAACTCTACAACTATTATTTAAAGTACAATGTTGACAATTCACTGGAATTCGAATGATTTTTATTTTTTAATAAGCTGCCAAAATAGCAATACGATTGAAAAAATAGAATAGCAATGTTTTTTTTAAGCAAACGCAAAAAATATGGAGCATGGGCATGTATACGCTACCAAATAGAATTGGTTCATACTTTTAACATGCAAAAAATTTACTGCAGCTACTGTAATAACGACTTCACTTACAGGAAGCACTGAACATCTCTTGAGTCATATGTTTTATATTGTAAGGATGTTGTAACGATGCTGGTAAATGTTGTTGGGGCAATGAATTTCCAAATCTTTTTCGTAAACTAGCAGCAGCATGTTTATATTGTTTTGATCTCGATCTAGAAGTGTGCTCCGGGTCACTGGACTCAGAAGAATCTGGTGTTTCGCTAGATACTAAATGGGAAAATATTTGTACAATAGCCGCTTATAAGACAATGTAACCATTGTTATAAACACGTACCTCTTTCTGTTGGGTTTACTCTCCAACATTTATCCTCTTTTATGTTGTAATTTAGACCAACGATACCATCTCCACTTCCCATACCAGCCAGAGTTGGAACTTTCGGTGCAGGCACAGGTATAGCGGTACGTTTCTTTCGTATCCTTTTATGCGATGGTGGTTTCTTATTTGCTTTACCCAAAACATCCGCTACCCTTTGCTGCCTTTCCAAAGAACTCCACTCCGAATCGGAATCACTATACGCTGCAAAACAAAACATGCATAATCAGTGTGTGTGTATACATTAATAAATTCCAAAAAATTTATTTCTCTGTTAAACTCTTACAGGGTTGTCCTTTTTCGCGTCTATGACGCAGCTTAGGCATATTGTTTAGAGAATCTTGCACCAAAGCATACATATAATCGCCATCGTAAGAAGGATAAAGACTTGGTACTACATCTTTAACTTGGGCGTATTCAGAGCCTAAATCTACCAATTCAGGTGTAGCAAGAGGGGCATGACCCATTGTCATCTTAGGACCGTGTTCGTCTTTCTCGCCTACTGTCATTCTAGCTATGGCGTCTGTGACGTTTGAGAAATCTTTTAAATTGATTTTGCCAGGCTGTTTCAAAGTTTGGCTATTTCCTTTTGGTCGTGGTTTTGCCTGGGAAATATGGCGTCTGCCTGTTGTAAAAGCTCTGTGAGAGTAACTATTAGTCACTCCATCTTGATGCATGAACGTATCCTTCACCCAGCCTACCGCAATAAAAAAATGTAAACAGATAAGATTACGATAAAAGCATAGAATTTCATGCTCACAACTTTACTCGAATAACACTAACCGGATAATTTATTCGTGATATCCCCTGGTTTTAGTAAATCCCGTTCTCTTTCTTCTCTATAAAAATCTACTTGACTATAAATATCACTGTCATCACTAGGTGTGGCTCTATTGTCTGCAAACTGTTCATTCAATCCCGTGTCTCCAAGATCACCATCCGGAGTTAATTGCTCGTACGATTCGGAACCGCTTCTGAAAGTTACAGACATACTGCTTCACATTAGACTTTTGAATTACAAACAAATTTTGATGTTAATCAATATAAACTGAATGATATTCTTAAGATTGCTATTAGGCTACTTACCCGTCATCCGGTGTTTGAAGATGGTAACTCTCGTGTCGAGGTGGTGGCATAGGATGCAATCCAGAGTACTCTAAAGTTCCTTCACCGCTATCGTTCAAGTTGCCCGGTTCTTCCATGTTAAAGGCTTGCTCGATTTCAGGCTTTTTCTCCCATACCTCTTTGAAAAATGGCGTATAAAATGCCGCTGTAATAAACACGAGATGAAATTAAAATCAAAAATACAGATTTTTAATAATTATATTTGAATACTTTTTTGTTGGCAACTGGATGCAGAAGTCATAAAGTGTGCTTGTAATTTATCCGCGATTGCATTCCCTTCCGTAATAAGTAAATGACTTAAGTCATTACTGAAGAAAGCATTAGCACCTCCAGTATCAGTCACAGCCATTATTTGTATCGGTAAGTTTGGTATATTCATGGAAAATGCACTAGAAAAAAATGATAAATAAGAATGGTGTTATTTCGATGCATGTAAGTACGATCATATTATGTATACCTAAGGGTCGCGAGCGATGCTTTCCTTTTTGTGGAGTAGACTAATATGAAACCGTGTACTAACTCGTCCCTAAATGCATTTGCCCCATGGAAACTTGAAATAATAACTTCAACCCTTCGTTTCGATTCCCCTAGAAATGTTTCTAGAACAATCGATCGGTCGCCACTGAGAAAACAACACTGATGATTGAGTAAAGGACCGAGTACGTTCTCAACGGAATATGGATCTCCGCAAAACATACACATTATTATTCTAGAATAACAATAATATTTATATTTATATTTTTTATCAATCAACATATGATGCACTCAAAGTAAAAGCTGTGTTACCTAATATCAGGTTCCAAGCATTCAATAACACTTTGGTAAATATTTAGAAAACCAGCTCTGTGATTTATTGATTGTATCAGTTGCTGTAATGCATCCTTCACAAGTGGAGTAGGAAACCTTTTGTCCTGCTCTAAATCCTCTATGCAGACATCGATAAATGGACACTGTAAGCTAGTGTAAAAATCGATTTTGTATTACCTTTTCTATTTACAAAATGATTCAAAATTCGTACAAATCAGTACCTATCAGCAAGATTCTGGCCCTCTTCTCTAAGTCGTATTGCTTCCAGTTCATCTATAGTAGCTTCTGGCACAAACATAATAACAATAGGTAATCCTTGAAATGGTAACCTATCTTCTTGCTCGAGATTCGATAACAATGTCTTCTCCAAGGACGAACGAATATATTCAAACGAATCCTCGTTTGCATAAATACAAAATGATCCTATAAGTAGTAGATATTATCAGAGTTCTATTCTTATAAAGCTGACTATACATGTAAGAATTATAATACTGCTACGTACCATGAGGCATAAAGTCAGAAGTAGTAAATGAATTGTGCGGTAATCCAACATCACCATCGATAATTCGGTATCCAAGCGTATACAACTGACAATCGATTTCTACTTCGTCATCCTCGGTCTGGGCTCTTATTTCTCGAGCAAATTCATCGCCAAGTCCATTGCTTCCAAGTATGACTAAATTTAATTGATTGTTATCAGATGTTAATTGCCACTGACTACTGTGGTTCCATGATGAAGGTCTAAGAAATGATGTTTTTAATAATGTTAAAATTTTTATTTGTATCTTATTTCTCATTTCCATTTTTTTTTTTTATATTACCTGTGGGCTTTTGTTCCAAGTATTCGTTCTATAAGTGCATCCATGCAATTTGGATAAGCTGGACAGTGCTCTCTTATAGGACAATGTACAAAACCCAAGTGTTGGAAAAGCATTAATTTTCTATCTTGATCCAGTCTATCTAAAGCCTTATACCTATATACCATAAACGATTATTTAAAAATGTTTGTAAATACTTTTCAAGCAAAAAAAAAATTAATTACCTAAAATCGGCCAACAACGCATCCGTTATTTCTTTAATATCGTCTTGTGTTATAGTTCCAGATGGTGCTATACTCTTAAAATGATAGAACAAATCAGCATGTTCTAACAATAATTCCTAAAATACATACATAATACATACCGTATGATATAAAATATTCATACTTTAATTATAATATACATCAAAGTTCTTACTTGGAAATTATGTTTTGCTTTTTCAATAATTTCCTTTTGATGTAGATCATATATTTCTTGACAGTCATGGTGAGAGAGAGCTTCAAAGCATTCCCTACCCATAAAAAGCACTTTAACTTCAGATAAGTGCTTTCCTGGTGTAACATACCCAGTTTCTTCCAACAACTGTTTAAATTGCTTTTTCCATCTAATGAAGAATATGTATTATGTTTTTGAATATTAGCAAAATCTTTTTTTGTTCATATTTAATTTATTTTACACGTTTATAAAATATTGATTTATAATGTCATGATATATCTTTTCATATTTCTAAGTTATATGTATATAAAAAAAGGGTAAGTAATGTGGCAAAACACATGACATACTCTAAAAATGTTAGTACAGATAATTATATATTTTTGTAAACAAGTAATCTCCTAGAATATAAAGCAATAAAAAGCACAATTTACCTTTTAGGAAGTCTGCACAAAGAAACGCCACCCAGAATAAAGCAAAGCATTAGTATATTGCACATAGGTATTACTTTCTAGAATGCTGAATGACTATATGATTTTAATAATTATATTAAAGCATAATACAGCAATGAACCAGTGATGAATATGCTATTTATAAATAGCAAACATTGAGGATATCATAATTATAACAAGGTATAATAAAAAATACCTGCATATGTATTTAAAAGTACATTACAATACTTACTCTAATCGCCGCTGTTCTTGTTGCAGCACATTTATATGGTTTTTGAAAACAGTTTCAGCTTCTGATGTTTCTAAAACATCATAAGGAATCTTTGTTCCATTGCATTCCTCAATATCATAATCAATCCATGGAATGTCTTCAGGACATTCATAGAAATACTGGTCAAAATCAGGATGTTCTTTTATATACTGCTGTACTGTAGACCACTCCCTATAGAGATATAAGATGCATAAATTAAAGCAAACTACATCTTTCAAATATGATTAAATAATGATTTGAAACACACTCATTGATCAAATTTGTTATATCAGGGCATATTTCATGAAGTACATCAGGTAACATATCCAAATATGCATCAACCTTCTTTGCCACTTGCTCATCTTTCAATTTTTTAATATGTCTCCTAAATAATCTTTGGGTTCCATCAATACCAAACAGTTCCACAGATGTTGAAAATTCTTTGTGTTGTGCTAGCTTTTTAGATGCTTGGGACCATAATGCTCGATAATCGGTAACTTGTACTCGAATCAATTTTTGCAAAGATTCTGTTGATGCATCCAGCAGTTCCTTTCTAGCTCTGGCCGCTTCCGCAAAAGGTGTTACCTTGCTACGCATTTTAGTTTTATCAATCACTTGAGCCAAAATCATAAATGCCAAATCAATATTAATATTTTCATGTGCAGATGTTTCAACTATTAAAATGGAACTTTTGTATTCTTTGCGCATTACTAATTTTTCAGCTTCCTTTACATACTGTTCATTTGCATCATCATTTTTGGTGGTTACCAAAACTATTGGCTTCTTAGTTTTCATTAAATTGTTCAATATGTTTGCTACAATTTCAACCTGCTTTTCTATAGAGCGATTTGGTACAACACTTACATCAAATATACACAAAAAACCATCAATATTTAATTTACCATCTGGTAAAACTTTTTGTTCATATTCTTTTTCTATGCCTAACTGATTCTTGCAAATGTACATAAGCTTTTCTGCACTGGTAATTTTTGTGGCTGCACATCTTTTTGCATAAGGTTCCATTTTACCACCTTTAAAAGGCTGAAATGATGCATCATCTATAAATTCTGTATGTTCTATCACTTGAAATTGATATTCTGTTCCATCCTCTGCTGTTTTTGTAACTTCACCCCAATATAGGAAATGATCATTGTTTACCACCCGACCACTAAAATCCGACTGTAAAAATAATAGCTAATTAATAATATTATTACAAAATACATGTGTATATGAAGATAATATTATTACCAATTACCTGAGATAACACTGATATATGGTCCACATTATAATCATCGTTCAAAGAACGCATGAAACGATTACACAGACATGATTTCCCAACACCAACTTGCCCTTTATCTTTCTCAGTGCCAGAAAGACCAACAACGGCAACATTGATGGTTTTGATATTATCACTTTTTCTTGCCATGTTTAAAGCTTAACTTGATTAAATCACTTATCTGATTAATAAGTGTGAAAATAAAAATCTTTTCTCTACCAAACTTTACTCAGGACATTTTTAAGTACCACTACTAATAGTTTCTCTTATTCATTTATCTTTGCAGTTATTAAAAATTTGTGTTTCTCCCTTTGGTCATTATATCAAGTCTAGAAATTTATATGAAAATCATCATTACCTCCCTTTGGTAACATTTTTAACAATATGCTCTTTTTATTCTATATTTTCCCCTCTTGCACAACATTCAAATATCATGCTTCAAATGTTTGTATGACATGCAAATGTATGTATGAGTAGTTATGGACAAATGTCATTTGCCAAAATTTCATTTGAGCTTTGTTAATTCAATGTTATTATTGTGATGTCATGAATGCCAAAATTATATCACTAGAAGTTAATAACACAGATCTTGAAAAATCTTTATATTTTATCTTTTCTATAAAGCATAGCATTCGTAATTTAGCACAACTGTGAGCAATGGTTCTTTGGAATGGCACTGCGTATCTGAAAAAATAATGTCCACAAGTGAATAAACTAATGAACAATATTTTCAAATGTTAGTTGCACTATTGTTTGCACTCATATTTTTTTTTCGTAATAATTACATTAAATATTCATTACAGTATTCACCGATTACAGTTCACATCAGCAAGATATAGAAAATCACACAGAATTACATTTATCACGTGTATTTGAATCATAAATTATATCGTCCATTGAGAAATACATTTCATAGTAGTAAAACAATAGGTGAATTAAATAAAAAGCAAACACCATACACAATGATAATTTTTACATTAAATGAATTTATTACGAACATAAGTAAGTTTTATTGCACACTTTACAGGTTATGGATTCAATGAAATAAAACGTAAAAAACTTTTCAAAACACATTTTGCATTAACCTCCACATAATTAAAGTAAATCTTTTGCTTTTGAGTAATTAGAAGATGAATATGATAATCTTGAGTAAATTGTATCATTGAAAATAGTATCAAGTAACGTTACGAATCTGTTACTCCTTACTGAATTGTAGAAAATTATATTTCGTTGCGATCGTAGAGTATTTCCATCGGGGCCGAAATAAATCGTTTCATCGAATTTTTTCACCGTTCCATTCGTTATCGAAAGAATGAACTAAACTGATAGACTTGACGTGAAATTTACGAGACATGATTCATGCAGCAGAAACAAATTATTCGATATACAAATGACAGCTACGAATAGATCAATATACATTGTACACAACCGCGGTCAATTTTGACACCGTTGATAGAGTCCCGGGATTCGACAAATTTTGACAAGGCACACGAACGAATATATACGACAGGCTATACCTTGCCAGAGCAAAATCACGAAACTAATCTAAATATCCTGACCGATATAGCAAAGGCTATGGTACCTGTACAGATTTTTGTTCGGCAAGCGAACTATTACACCAACCGGCCGTTCCGTATAATTTTTTCTTCAGGAACTCGATCAATCGTTCACTGCTATGCAGCACGCACTCTTTCTTAATCTTTTTCACGCACACGATACAACGAAAGACATCAAGAACTTGCCCCGATGAACGTTTAATTCCAGGTGTGTAAATAACTTCACGTCAAACATCGAGTATTGCCCCATAAAGGAGCCATCTTGGTGGGTGGGCACAAGGCGATTAATGTTTTCAGGATAGATGGTATACGTCGAACAAGAACAAGGCCGTATCTAGCGTACTACCTTTGATTCATCAATATTTTAAAATGGATGCTGCTCTTTTTGTGAATGAATTATTAAATTCGATCTATTTGTCACTTTTTTAAAGTAATTATCACGATATAAAAATCTTATGCTTCTACAAACTGTAAAGATTTCTTATAAAATAAGACCAGTTAAAACGAACATGTTATATTTTTTCAATTACAGAAATTATAATTCATTAGTGCTGTTGTTATTTATTTAAATTAATCAATTATTTATGATCCGTATCGACGAAAAAGCACCTAGCTATAAGCACTCCGTGATTACGCTCCTGTAAGAGCATAAAAACACCACCTGTCGTTCAGTAGACAAACTAGTTAGAGTTAGAATCGAAAATGGCTGACAGCGGGGATGCTGCGAACTGTACGTCGTCTGGGAAAGAGGCTAGAAATACCGTCATCGATGGACCTGTCACTGATCCAGCATCGAACAGCAAGGTAAATTAAAAAAAACTATCATCGAATACCTGAGCCACCGGATTTTTTTTACTTCAACTGTCATGGTATTAAAACATGACAATGTACTGCCACGAGTATTGTATTTACCGCCGTATTACTTTTTGGCTAATTAAGACACTTATAAATATAAAATGTATCTATTTTAATTTAAATTCTCAATCTTGTTAAAGGACAGTGATTTACTGAGGGAACCAAACTTCTTTCTTTATTGTTTTTCTCTTGTTTCTGTTGTTCAATCATTTGTATATGGTCTTTCATTTACCTGTGTCTATTTTTTTTTTACCTGTGTTTTGTTTTTTTGTTTTACATCTCAACCCAACCCTTTGAAGTCTTGTGACCACATGTTGCTGTTATGTAATGCAACACATGGTATTAATTGATATATGATCTTGTATATACCTTCTGTTTATTACCAAATAGAAAGCTTCCTTCCATCATTATTACGAGTTAAAAACCATTATGAAAGGATTATATAAATGTATCATTATTGCTGATTATTTGTATAATTTTAATTAATGAATATAATAACATTTATAAGATGAAGTTATTAGATGTTTATAAATACATATGATAATGAGTAAAACTAATGAGAAAATGATTTATGAACAGGCTGAATACATATTTTTAAGTATTTTTCTATTTAAAGATCTGACTAATGTATCATTGCTATATAATACAAAAGTAATGTTATGGTAATTGGTATGAAACTTGCAGGCAATTCATATACATGAGATCAGCTGCTAAGGACAATGAGTCTTTTGAAGCACCAATGTTCTAAGTACTTTGTCCTACATACATAGAACTATTTTTTTATTTAGTTTGAAAATTTTTCAATTTCCTTTTTTTATATTGATATTTTTATGATATGTATTAAAAAATAACATAGTTATTTTGATTAAATTAAAAAAGTACTAAAAAACTATTGATTTTTTTACACATTTTCTTTACTTTGTTTTTGATTCCCTTTTATATTTCCTTGCATAATACTATTTTAGCACACTAACTATATCATGATGAAAAATTATATAGCTATTCAAATATCTTCAATGACATTTAAAGCATAGTATATTCTATAGCATTAACTTTGATAATGCAAAAATAAAGAGGTGATTTGCATGCTGTTATACATATTGTGTGCTATCAAGGTGCTTGTATTATTTTACATATAGAGCATTATTCTCACAGTAGTCCGTAGGTTCGGTACCAATCACTCATGCATCGCTCATTACAAGCCTAAATACACCATATAGGCGTGGCACAATTAGCACTACTGAACCAATCTCTTGAGCGCAATAAAAAGATAACTGAGGAATAGTAACAAAAAAAAAAGATAAAAGGAGATACTTTTGCATATGTAAAACTAGTATTTTATATGATTCAAGTTTTACGTACAAGTACAACCTTTGGGAGCTTTGTACCAAACTACGGACTGTATTAATAAAATTTGATCCAATTTGAATCATGAAATGGTGGTTGTTGTGATTTCAGAGCCTAGAGGCATCAAATAATGCCTTTCACGGCGCGAGAACAAAATTAGTAAGTAAGAATATATGTGTACAAAACACAAAGTAAACTTGTACTCCTTTCCATAGAGCAATCCTTGCAATTTCCTCAGGGCTGCTTTAATTCCCATGACTACATAAATGTGGTATGTGCCAATGGTTTTATCATTCTTGCCTTCCCATTAAATAACACAGGGTAATAACAAGACGATTTTTCTGCTAAAATACAGCTGAAATTGTGAATGATTTGCACCTACCTGTCCATACAATTATGCAACACCATAAACAGGATTAATTTATTTTGCTTCATTAATGTACAATTAATATTAATGATATAATGTCAAATAATATGGACTTAAAGAATCATTGTGTGTCGTCTATATTAATCTGTGTCCATTCTATCAAATAAAGTAGCTTCATTTGCATTTTTCTGTTTGTAGTCCATTTCCATCCATTGCAGCCCTTCTCAATAAAGAAAAGAAAAAAAATATTCATGATTTTATAGTTGATTTGATCTTTCAAATGTTTAGGATCCCAAATCTGGAGCCTTGAAGAAATCCAGTCGTTATCGTAGTCGATCTTTATCCGCCAGTAGCACAGACAGTTACAGCTCTGGTATGAATGTACAAATTTACTAATTGCACCACAATGTACTTAATGGTTGCAATTAATTATTATTAATGTGTGATAAAAATGATCTACTTTCTGATACTTTAGCATCTTATACAGGAAGCTCATCAGATGAGGATGATGTATCACCTCGTGAAAAAATTCAAAAAACGGAGAATGGCTTCACGGACTTCTGCGTACGCAATATTAATCAACATGCTTTTGGTAGAAGAGAGATAGAAATAGCAGAACAGGAAATGCCTGGTATTATGGCACTTCGCAAGCGTGCCGCCGAGGATAAGGTATATAAAATGTCAGCTGACAACGCAAAAATAATCTTTAGCAAGCAATATTAATACATGTACAATAAATCATTATTTCAAACAGCCACTAAAAAATGCTAAAATTGTGGGATGCACTCATATCAATGCTCAAACTGCTGTTCTTATTGAAACCTTAGTACATTTGGGGGCACAAGTTAGGTGGGCAGCATGTAACATATATTCCACACAAAATGAAGTGGCTGCTGCTCTTGCTTACGCTGGTTACCCAATTTTTGCTTGGCGTGGTGAAACAGAGGAGGATTTTTGGTGGTGTATTGATAAATGTGTAGCTGCTGAAAATTGGCAGCCTAATATGATATTAGATGATGGTGGAGATGCAACACATTTGATGCTCAAAAAATATAATGCTATGTTTAAAATGATTCAAGGTTTGTCGGTCGTTTATGTTGTAAGAAAATGAATAATAATGTTGAAAACTTTTAGGAATTGTTGAAGAGAGTGTAACAGGTGTACATAGATTATATCAGTTATCGAAAGCAGGCAAATTATCCGTCCCTGCCATGAATGTCAATGATAGCGTAACAAAGACCAAATTTGACAATCTCTATAGTTGCCGCGAAAGTATTATTGATAGGTAAATTAATTGTAAATCAGCTGTGGCAATACGTCGATTATATCAGCTATTAATTATTTCCATATGTCTTATTACAGTTTGAAGAGATCTACAGACATTATGTTTGGTGGAAAACAAGTTGTAATTTGTGGTTATGGTGAAGTTGGAAAAGGTTGTTGTCAAGCTCTCAAAGGTTTAGGATGTATTGTTTATATAACTGAGATCGATCCAATTTGTGCTTTGCAAGCAAGGTAGATAGTTCAAAGGAAAATACAAATCAATTATAAGACAAGATTATTCACACAAACACTTTCTTTACAGCATGGATGGTTTCAGAGTAATGAAATTGAATGAAGTTATTAGAAATGTAGATATCGTTATTACCGCAACTGGCAATAAAAACGTAGTTACACGCGAGCACATGGATAAAATGAAAAACGGCTGTGTAGTGTGCAATATGGGACACAGTAATACCGAAATAGATATTGTACGTTTAAGTTTTTACTTATATTTCAGAACAAAAAAAAAAAGAAATATATTGGTAAGACATTAAGACTCCTTTAATATGTTCTTAACAGAACAGTTTACGCACGCCAGATTTAACTTGGGAAAAAGTAAGGTCACAAGTGGATCATGTTATCTGGCCAGACGGAAAGCGCATCGTATTATTAGCGGAAGGCCGGTTAGTCAACTTGTCTTGTTCCAGCATTCCCTCATTTGTTGTATCGATTACAGCTGCTACTCAAGCGTTAGCGCTCATTGAACTTTTCAACGCACCTTCCGGACGATATAAAAGTGACGTTTATCTGTTACCGAAAAAAATGGGTAAGCATAAAACATCATGCTTCGTTCTTGTTGTACTGAAATGAATTATGAAACGATAATCTTGTTTGATAGATGAGTATGTGGCATCATTGCATTTACCAACATTTGATGCACATTTAACAGAATTAACAGATGAACAAGCCAAATATATGGGGCTTAATAAGGCTGGACCTTTTAAGCCTAACTATTATCGGTTCGTACATCTTATACGTTTCGATCGAAATTATTATTTAACGTAAATAATGTGAAATTATTTAAATTTTTCATCAATTTATTTCAGCTATTAAAAATATGTGGATAAATGATATGGCACAGTATATGCGATATTTAAAACTTGCGTTTATGAGTATTAAAAACAGCTGTCTCGTTTTGCTGAAGTTTCTTCTATTAATTTCGTTTATCTAAATTAATAGAAACATATAATAACGTTTCATGTTATCTTTAACATAATTCTAAGCTATTCTATTAATCTAGAAGAATATTTTCCTTATATTCTGAAAAAGTATTTCCGTATAATTCCAACCAAAATATCGCCTCAGCATTGGCTGCAATAATCAATAACTAGAAGTTAGATAAGTAAATATATATTGAATTAACTTTCACAAGTGTATAGCAATGATTAATTTATGAACGGTGCAAACATAAAATATACTTGTGCATTGGTTCAGTCGAATCAAAGTTCTGGTTTACCAAAAGCCAAGTTTTCACTATATTAAAAAAAAGAGAGAGAGAAAAGGATGAAGTAAGAAGTGTCCTATAAGAATCAGTATGTGTAAAACATTTTTAACGCCGTAGACTACGCGATTAAAATTTTTTATTGAGATTATTTTTGATTTGTTAGATACTATTTTTAACAAACTGTTTATTCAGAACAGCGACCTCTGGTAATATTGGAAATATGTATATATACATAGAGGATTTACAATTGCGAGACATTGATCGATGTATGGATAATTGAGGTACAGTGACAGCCATCTCCTGACGAAATAATGTGTTAGCAACAACTATGTCTACTAACTGTTCTTAATTTGTCTATCGAAACAGCAATCGTGTATACCTGAACCTAGCATTTCTGTTTCTAAGAGAAAAAAAAAAATAATGAGAACAGTGTAGAAATTAACGAATCCGAACTATGTACATAATTGTTTAAAAAAGAAAACGAGTAAAAAGCGGGTAAAAAATAAACCCTTTTATAATTGGTCGAATCGTTCCTCGATAGAGAAATATCGATAATGAAAAAAATAGAAAACAAATAAACCTCTACGATGCCTTGGACCTAATCACATTTATCATATTGATTTAAGTATCCTATACCTTGCAGGGAATAAGATTCTCGTTTCCTAAAATTACGTTTTTATTCAGACTTTATACCTTCATATCACACGTGTACTAAGAAACAGTGAACTAGTTCAGTTCTAAAAAAGAAAAAAAAAAGAGAGAGAAACTAAATGTGAAATGGAATTGAATTACAAAAAATAGTAATTGTAGCTAATCTTTTATACCTGAATGAATATAACCACAGTAAAAGGAAAATGAAAAATCAATACGTTAGCACAATGGAAATTAAATGGAGACTACCTATGTACAAGCGTATATGGACTGTAACATAGTAAAATACCCGCGTACTAACTGTGTAAAGCAATATATACATATAAGGAAGAATGAAACACGACGACAGAAGCAAGCAGACTTTGTACGACAATACTTCCTAACGTTGATTGTTCTTGTCTGCGTACGATAGTAATTATTCAATGTACAACACGTTACTGTATCCTGTACATAGAAAGTAATAACAATTTTTGCCAGAACACGGTATGTTTGAAATTTGTGGCATAAATAAAAAAGTATTATAACAACTCTTTTTCTTGGAATTTTCTTTCATTAAGTATACCCCTGAATGAGAAACAACGTAAAATCGAGAACAATGAAGGAATGAATACGTTGTAGAATCAATAAAGTAAAATACATCTCGTCGATATAAATGTTATATATTTCAGCATAATTATTATAAAGTAATGGCTCCTGAAGCGCTTATCGACAGCATCGGTTGAAAGATAAAGTTTTACAAGAGTTCTTGCATTCTTCTTACGATCCGTATATGAGTATTGAAAAACAAAACAACTTTGGGATTGACCATAAAAATGAACCTACATAAATGGCAAGGTTCAACGGCATGGCATACATAATGGCATAATAGCAGCGGTCTACAAAAAAGAAATACGAACTTAAAACACAATTTCGTGTTATTAAAGAAATAAATAATAAAACCAAAAAAAAAATGTAGTAAAAATATATTTTACAATACTCTGTACAAGATCTTATTAGAATTAATATCTAGTTAGCTCAGCGTAGATTGGTTATCATGAGACAGGCTATCAACCTTGGAATACTGGTATCGTGATTCTTTTCTTTTCTTTTTTTCCTGTAATAATTTTTCTTATTGCGGATTGCGTATAACGCATTGAACTGTTCGTATTTACGAAGTTAGGAAAGCCTTATTCCTCAATTGCATAAACAGTCCGGCCGTTATTGCGATATAATACTTCGTTTTTCCGCGTTCACTTATAATTGTGATTCCGAGAGAGTAGACTTACACCCGAGGTCGCAGTATTCCACGATTAATATTAGCACAGTTAATATTAGCGCGGTGTCTGTACATTTCTGCAAAGAGATATCGTAGTGTTTCCGGGATGTTTGATAGTCGGTAGAAGGAAAAAAACCGAAATAAAATTTATTCACCGTTTATGATCGTTAATGTTTTGCACAAGGATAAAACAATTATTGCGAACATGTCGGGACAACTTCGAAAATTTCCGCAGAAACAAACAGGCACGTGTGTAAAATACGTAGATAGAAATTTCGAACACTTCCATTTCACTACGTCAACAACAAATATTTTTTTCTTTTTTTCTTTTTTTTTTTTTCAATCAAAATCTGGTAATCCGCATCAACAATTCACTGCACTCTGAATACACACACGCGCACACACACATATATGTATGTATGTATGTATGTATTCGTAAAATAATCTACCAACCAGGGAGCCCAGACAAAAAATAAATGATTCATGTGATCTCGTATAACAGCATTTTCAACACGATTATATTACACGTAAAAAGGGAGAAAACAGTTTAATAGTATTTACATAAGTCGATTATACCCGCGAGTCATTGCACTAAGATTGCTTTGCGTATCGTATAAAAATGATTTTATACGGTAATCGTATTGATAAGCTTTCAAATTTAATCGAATTGTCGAAAGTTCATTGTACAATACTGAGCTCCCGCAGTATCGATGAAAAATATATAACATAAACATTATAGACATCCTAACAAGCGGGGGAGAAAAGAAGAAATCGTGAATATACGCGCTTTTATATATGCCTTGGTCTCTGCAAGGCAAAATAATCGATAAAGGTAAATGTTTAATGATAGAAATATGTCTTACACGTGTCAAGTAAATCATCAATATATCCTCTATAAATATACGCATATATAGATATCGCTTGAACCACAATTCCATCGTTTAAAACTTTGTTTTCTTTTTCTTCTTTCTTCCAGTTTAAGCTGTAATATATGTGTATATTTATAGCGTGCAATAAAGTAGTTCTTTTTTCTCATTTATAAATATGTAACAAAAATAGATAATAATAGATATATTATATGTACAATGTAGACATGTAAAACCTAACAAAGTAGATGCGCTCGGTTACTCTCTATATCAATCTAGAAGCCTTTACCGTGAAAAATACTTAATTATCTCAACATGAGCATATTTCGAAATCTTGCGTGCATTCGTGCATATTTTGCTTCTCGTTTTTATAAAGATAGGGCGATATATTTAATCGATCATTTACTTTGTTCATTTTTCTTTCCCCCCTTTTTTTTTTCCTTGCTTTCGTCCTAGAATATTCTCATCCTGAATAGACGATACATGTAATGTTTTCGAACGAATCCGATCCACGATAAAATTTCGCCTCAGGGTGTCGCATCTAAGTTACACATACGTACTTTTAAACACTCTGTGTGCACGTTCCTACGTAAAAAAAAAAGAACAAAAAAAATTCTTTATGCTCTTGAATGCAAAATTAAATCGAATGCATTCACGGCACACCGACCACGTTCAGCATAGACACATAAGTCATCTGATCGTTTTTCCCATTCCTTCTTTTTTTTCCTTTTACAAACTTAATATCGTTTACGAACTAAGCGACTTTTTTCTTCTTTTCTTTTTTACATGTTACACGCGGTTTATTAAATATTAGCGGCTTCTCTCTTAGTAACAATAATATAACATACGAGTATACGTAAGCTCGCTCCAGAAAAAGTTCCACGGAACATCCAGTATCTCCGTGGCACTCGTTCGAACATCATTTCACAAGTACAAACAATAGCGTCTTGTGTTACGTAACCTAATCTTTCTCGCGTCTCGTTCTTTTTCCTCGACGCTTTAACGAATGACTTCCGGACAGAATGAAAAATTGTTTGAACTTGTAAAACGACTCGACTGCAAAAATCCACCCAGGCTAGAATTTAGTTGTTCGATTGTTCAACACGAGGTAAAATGCAAATGCGATTTTATGCAATCGCGATAAATGAGAAAAATTCAATTATGACAACATGAGAAAAATAAAGTTCTTTTCTCAATCTCTCTTCTTTTCTCTCTCTATTATTCTCTTTGCACTTGATAATATATGTTCTGTATAAAAATTCTTCAGCAAACAAATTGTTGCAAACATTAATCAGTACATTAATTAACACGATTCAATTTACAATAGTTTAAGACCAAATGATATGTCTATATGGCTACCAACGAATCAACAATACCTTAACAAATTCGTTAAAGAAGAGTCGGTTTTTTATAGAAAAAAAAAAAAGGGAAAAAATTGTTCGATGATCGTTCGTTAAGTATTAACGATAAGCATTAAAAAAGGCCTGTAAAAACTCATGTACCCCGTCAGTGACTAGCTTAAGGTATTATGCACATATATATTCTTTCTTTGTTTTTAGCATAAATGTTTCAATGGCATTGCATAGTTCCTTAAAATTTCTGCAAAACTGGACCACTTAAAGTACTATTACATTGATTTTTTTAAACTTTGCTGACTGTCAAATTAATATGTTCAAAATTTACAAACTTTTTTCTGGATCTTTAAAACGATTTTTGTATTATCAAAAAGTAACAATTTTAAAACTATTTATCTGCCAGTGAACATTAATCTAAAAGTTAGATGTTTAACAGTTTCTGCTATTTAAAAGATGCTGAAATACTGTTAAAAAAATTTTTAGCACAGTCAGCAAAGATATTAAAAGCAGAAAAGATAAAGAATACTACCATCTTTTTTTTTAGAAGTTTCAATTATTTTAACGTTTTCTCTTTTTCAAATGATAACGAAATATATAAGAAACATGCAAAATCTAATTGATCTCAAAACTGTGCTTTGATTAGTCTTCCCTTATCTTATTATCCTTGACCCTGTACTTGTTACCATAGTTTTCCTTTTTACTGCGTACTTTCCGTCAATCATTGCTAGCGATAATAAGGTACTACAGGAACGATTTGTAAATTATATACACAGATAAACAAATTGCGCGTACGAATGCAGTTCGGGAAAAAAATTGTCCATATAATTCTTGTACGTAATACACGGCTTCAACAAACAAATTGATTCAAACACCGGGCCATTTCTGTCTCTTTCATGCCCCATCACGAAAGGAACGGAAATTAGCAGAACTTTTTTTTTTAACATTTGCGAAGTAAGCAATTTATAATTGCAAATAACTTTTCTTTCTCTTCGATTAATCCCGCATATTTGTCTTATTCCGAGGAACGATCGATCACTGGAACAAAACAAATACCTGTTCCTATGAACGTAACTTTTAAATTTTGAAATTAAAAAAAGATAACATTGATTGATATGCATGTTATTATCATGCACGTTCAAGGGAAAGAACGCTTTCGTAATTGATGATTCTCGGTGTAAAAAAAAGAATTCAAACGAAAATATCTTTTGAAAAAATCTTCGAACCGTTTTGAACATACTTCGAAAAAGTGAATACTACTACACAGAGTCGATTAAAAGCTTCACAATGATTAAATAACGATTCTTCTACAGTGAGAATAATTATACTACCATAGATAGTCAGCGAAGAAATTTGATTGTTCGGACAACAACGAGCTGCCTGCCTGTCGATGAGTGTATATGCCACATAATTTACTTATAACCTATAATCCTTACACTATGGCGTTGCTAGTGACCTTCACATCACATTGCACGATAATATATATATATGATACAAAAGTAAATCGTTTTGTACATACTTTCACAAATGAGGGCGTTTCATGTTCGACGTGTCCTCGTACCGAACTTATATATCGTTATATACGATATTCTTCATTTTTTATAATTTTCTTAACTTTTTTTTCTTTGTTTCAGTCGTTGACTCAGCATCAAACCATGCTGTTCTTGTGTAGAATCCTAGAAAACACTAAAATTTTAAACCCACCGATGTAAATATGTGTCGAGAGAGAGAGAGAAAGAGAGTATTGTGATGCCCGTTCATCTCTCTAAGGATTCACGTGTTTCGTGTTGCAATTTAGTATTTTTTCAGGCCTCAGACCTGAATACTATATTCGTAAAAACAAGTGTAGGACTTACTGTCATCGGACTACATTTTGAAAGCACCTACAAACGTGAAATCGTATTGCACCATCGTAGTTCATTGAAAAAAACGTTCCTACCACGTCGAAGGAAGTTTATACAAAGTGATAAACACACAAGCTACACTGCCACAATCGTTACGTTCTTTGCACCTTTCCCCTCTCATTGAATAGTACTTGGCACAACAGTCACTTTACTGTATTGTTCATCTGACTGTCCTGTAGTGGTTTGTGGCAGTGGCTTTTCAAACCTGTCGTGTTGTACGTACGGTGACGACAACGTCGACGTTCTATGTTGATCTAGCTTTGGGTTTTCTGCTATGGTAACGTATCCAGTACTCTGTTTAGTCGTGATTATGGACTTGTCCACGTCCAACTTCGAGCTTGGCTTCGCACCAGCGGTCTGCCAACACAGAGGATACGTTGTCGTGGCGTCTTCTTCCGTTTCGTCTATCACCTCTGAAGTAGGAGCTTCCGATTTTCCCCTCTGCTGTTGTTGTAACATTTGAAATACGGAACTCGCGGGGACATACGGCTTCGAGCCGTCAGTCGTTGAAATTGGAGGCGCGTTAGTCTTCTGTGAAGACTCTAAAGCACCTGTTTGTAGATTTGGCTTTTTCGTCACTTCAGGGATCGAGGACACGGAAACATACGGCTTCGACGAGGTATCCAGCGTGGACGTCAAAGACGTTGGACTTGCAAAAGGGGAAACAAACGGTTTGCTACAGGAATCTGTTAAAGATGTGGCTGCAAACGGAGTGGACATCGTTGTACTCCTTGTACCATCAATGGTGTTTAAAGTGAACGGCTTCTTCAGTGAATCGATCAAACCTGTCTGCACGTATGGCTTAGAAGATTTGTCAGCAGTAGAGAATGGAGTTAATGATTCTAGCTTCGGTTTATTTGATTCGGTAAACGTTAATTCGCCCAAGTCGCGTAAGGAATCGATGGTCTTCTTGTCTTTTTGTTTCTGCTCCAAAGACGCTAAAGTTATGTACGGATTTGTAGATTTGGATTCTGGCTTGATAGGTATTAGCGTGTCTGCGGTAGATTCCGTTAAATCACTGTCATCTTCGGACTTTGGTTTGACAGACTTAGGAACCGTTCCTATGATACTATAACCACCTGCGGTTGAAGTTTCTTTAGGAATGGGACTTGGATTACTGGATAGTTCCTCTGATGATGGCATACTAATGTAACCGGTCGAGGACCAAGTGTGTTGCGAAGTTGTATAACCTGTACTATCAGTTAGATTGGGCGTAGATCGTGCTAAAGACAACGTGTCTCCGACAATGGGCTCTCCGGATTTTGCAACCTTTACGTACGGTTCCCAGCGTGCTGTTTCCGTTGTAAACCCTGGCTTGGTGATTCCAACGTTTCTCTGACGAAGACTTGAAGATTCCCAAGCTGGTAACGTCTCAAGTAATTTATTGGGTGATACAGGCATTGGATCTATCTCCGTACCGCTATCGCTTGAAACCTGAGATTCTGATGTGAGCGAGGAAGTAACAGATTCTTGTCCACTTGAACAACCACTTGAATCGGCAGAAGATTGTCGTATATGTTGTTCTCCCACTTTTTGAAGAAGCTTCTGTAACGACAAAAACGCAAAATAGAAATAGAAAATATAAATCGATTACTATCGATACGATCGATTCATTCTCGTATACGTTACCATGTTTGGAGCTAATCCAGGTGGTAGTTTAACTTCGACATCTTGCATCGCTTTACACTTCAACCACATCCTATAACAAGGAAAGATACATGTAAATGAAGTTACATTTACCTTATAAAATACTCTAACTACACAAGTTATTCATACCTCTTTGACAGATGAGCAAGACAAAGAAGAAGTGCCACAATACTAACACACCCTATCACCCATATTATGACCCACACGGTGTACGATGGTCCTACAGTATAATAGAGTTATTGCCATAACTGCTTGAACAAACCAACAAAAAACTAACGAAAAAAAAAACTTACCATCGCTATAGCAGTTTCCCTCTCCAGGTTCAGACCAAGGACCCCTTAAATGTAAATTGTTCGCCGCAATATTAACAGCCCTTACGCAAAATTGATATAATCTCTCCCGCCCTATAGTTTTGCAGTCGGGGATAGGTAATTGAGCCTCTGCAGTATTTGTAAAAAAGAAGAAGGTTAATAATGAAGGTAAGTTTAAAGAAAATAAATTCATCTTTTGCAATGTTACCTGTTCTAGTACTATTTTGTATTTCACCGTCGCTGGAAGATACTTCGTAATAATCTAAATGCCCAGCTGTATAATGGGGTTTACTCCAGATAACAATCACTTGGCTAGAATTCATGAAGCGTACGTTAGGTACATTGATTTTTCCCGGTACTCCAATTTGCGTTTGTTTGTGAATTATAGGTGATTTCACGCTGCAAGATACGGTGCATGCCGCTACGCTGATGCTATAATTCGTATGAGCCAGTAAATCTTTCAATTCAATATGATTCGCTTCTTCAACCTTTTGCTGATGTTCGTTGTAATAAACTTCGTAATATCGCAATACACCGTTCATTGCAGCTGGTGCTTTCCATGTGATATACATTGTGGTGTTTGTCACATTGGTAATTTTCACATCCTGCGGTGGAGTTGTTGGTGCGGCTTCGAGCGTTGTGTTGTACAAAGGATCACTATGTAGTCCTTCTCCACTTTTCGTTAAAACAGCAACAGCCAACATGTATGTAGTATACGGTTTCAAATTGTTCACTATGCCATGAATAGTATGAGGATCAGCTTTAATCGTTGTATTAAGTTTCGGACCTTTGCAATTTAAATTGTACGGCGAAACAATAGGGCAATAATAAATATTAAAACCCTCCACAATTCCAATACGATCCGAGCAATCTAATTTCCAACCAACTTCGATGAAATCGGAACCAATGCGATTTATCCACACAGACTTCATTTTTCCAACAACTTTGTTATGTATCACGGTGCATGACGCCCATACCATGCCGCTACTGCCTTTAGCGGTATTCGCAGAAATTGCAAACTGATACACCTTGTCGGGATCTGGTACAGTCATGTTATAAATCGTTGTATTTTTCGATACGTGTACCCAGTCTAGATAACCCTGCAATCAGTTTAATTTTAGTATCAGTATTTTTTATTTTCGATGCTGCCCGGTAGCTAGTAAATACATACGGTACATTGATAAGGACGATCGCGTTCGTTATCACACCAAAAAATTGTATAATTCATGATTTCTTTACTCATAATAGGTGGTTTCCAAGATAACTCGTACAAGCCTCCATCGAACGCGATTTTTGTAAATGCTATTGGTTCGTGTGGTACTATAATACAAACATATTATTGATCATTTAAAATGCACGCATATGTAACTTAAACATTGTGAATTTTTTCATTTTTTATGATCTTACTTTCGTATTGACTAGGTACAAAAATTTCTGCAGGTTCTTTATTCCTTCCAAAAATGTTCAATGTGACAATTTCAAAGCGATAACTGTTGAAACTAAGTCCCTTAAATTTAGCATACGTTTTCGTAGTTTCGTTTGGAACAACCGACGATCTTCGACCATTCTCTTCCACGTGATCAATATCGTATTTGAAATTATCGCCATTTTCCAAGTACTCTGGTATAGTTTGCCAGTACAAATATACGTCCCTGCTAGCACTGTTCTCCGCTATTTCAAAGCTTCCAATATCGGTTTTTGGAGGAAGGCCAGGTACTGAAATATCAAATACATAAAGATATAAAAAATATGCCGGGAAATAGTTAATAGTAACATTAAAACTGTGGAAAACGCAACTTACATCTTGATGGTGTTCTAAAAGTAACGTCACTAAACTCACTCCACTTATCTTCTCCAGTCGCGACAGCACTTTTCATAAAAACTCGTACATCGTATACGGTATTAGCATACTCCAACCCAGTAAGATTATAGTATCTTTTCGGGGTGCGAGTATCATTTGTAATATTTATTACCTAATATAAATTTGTCGATAATATATTTTTAAATAACAAATGATATCGTGATAGTGCTAATAAGATTCTTTAAGTCTAAACTCACCTGCCAAGTTTTTTCATGATCCCATTGGTTCTGATACGTGATTCTATGATATATTCCAGGTGGAAAATTCTGCATTGGAAAAGGCACACTCCAGTGCAATAATGCACTATCAGATGTTTTATTAATAACTGATAAATTAGCTGGTTTGGCAGGAATAACTAAAAATTCAAATAATGTTATAATTCCTATTATAAATATCAATATTATGTGAAGAAAAAATAAATACAAACCATGAGCATAGTGATGAAATTTATATGTAAAACTGGAATTCCCTAACACATTTTCCACATTCAGTATAAATGTATAATATTCATAGGGTTGTCGATAAATTGGATTTGTATATGTATCCCATATGCACTTGTTTGGACTTATTGGTTTTGTATTATCTTTTGGACATGGATATAATTTTCGACCCCCTGCTCTTCCCGGCAATTTAAAAACAAGCGTAAATCTCGTTGTAACGTAGTTCTGGACGGGATCCCACGAACATATCATATTTTCCCAATTATGTGATACACAGCTGAAGTTTTGGGGTTCTTGAGGTTTGACTGCCAATAACATTTTTAAAACGAAATATATTTATATTCTCTTTTTCTTTGAATCTTAAAAAGGGCTTTACTAAGAATATTTATAAATGATTCTTTGTATAAAAAGGCTCTTATATTTTATCTTAAATGATAGTCAAATATGAATTCTAAGATACAAAGCATATTGAGTGATATTCCTATAACTCTAATGACATCAAACACTGAATGCCTTCTCTTGTTTCCATGAAATACCTTTTGACCTATCCTGATAAGCACATATGAATGATATGACTTAATAAGAAGTTCATATGATAGATCTAACATTAATATGATAATTAAAGAATTTCAATAGGCAATTAATTAAATTTTTTTAAATTCAAAGTTAGCTAGTATAATGTTGTTTAAAATAAAATACTTACAGCCAACAACAACTTTATTCAAACAAACTGCTTCATGTTGCTTGTTACAATCTTCTTGCAATCTTAATTTACAGTAATACATATCTTCTGCAGGTGGAGGCTTTTCCACATCCAGTGATATTGTAGTTTCATTAATAATTGTAAGAAATGGAGGCTCCATTTCTTTTTTGTTACGAAAGAATACAAGATCTGAGGCATTTTTTCCAGGAAATTCAGCATCCACAAATGTTTGGTTTAATATACAAAGTATTCTCAAAGATTGGCCATACTCAAGAACTATGTCACCTTGTGGCCAAGTCCCTTAAAAAATAAATATTATAAATATAAATTGAAACTAATCTTCAATTATTAATTAATTTATAACTGTTGCTTGAAACATTCAACAAAATATATGGTGATTTTACTCCAAATCTTAGCCTACACTGTACACCTAGTGCATTAAATATAGATATATACATTTAGCACCAACACTAGAATTCCAAAAGGAGAAATAAGAAGCAGGTATTATTTATAAACCCAGCTACAGTAGAAACTTACAAATACAATAAAAGCTCTACATTAACTAAAACTGTTTGCTTAAATTTACATGTATGTATATATTTCTATTAATTAAAATTAGAAAAATCTTTATTAAACTTACTCCCAGGTGTTTTGAGACCAACTGCACATTGATTAGAATCTGCACTGCATAATGTTGCACATAATAATAAGACAACAAAAGGAATTAAAAATGTTCTCCAAAAACAATTCCTCCACTGTGTACCAACTTTTTTTGTAATTGGTAATGGCAGATTTTTATCTGCTCTAATTCTCCATAAATTATATGTAGAACACAAATAACTTTGTGAAATTTGTTTGCGTTTTAGACAATGCATTATATCACAATTACAATTAAAATTAACATCTTCACTTAATGTATAATTATTAACTGAACATATGCCAGAAGAATACTTAATAGTTGCTGAAAAGTCAGCTGTGTCACACAATTCATCTTCTATCCTGTTAATAATGTCTTCCTTCTGAGGGAGACAAGTATTTCTTGTTGCACATGTACTATTATTTTCACATTTCTCTAAACCACAGCACAGAGTCTCTGTCATTCTATATACATTTGAAGATCTATCAACATCATCATGCTTTGATGCACTTTTAAAACCTGATTGTGAAAACTGAAACATTTCTTGCTGAAGTCCTCTGGGATCTGCTTTGTTTGAAAACATCTTGTGCTCCCATCACTGGAAGAAAGGATAAAAAAGTAATATTAATTAATCAAAACAATATTAATGCCCAACTAAAATTAATAAAAAAAAATATACAAATTGAACACTATATTAATATAATTATGTAAGGAAGCAGAAGGTCAATTATTCAAGATGCCATGCAATAGTATAATTCTGAAGCTAAGCTGTAACTAAATCCTTATATTTTAGGAGCTAAAGATAGGACAGCAATTAATGAGATGAAATATAATTCTGATTAGTCGATTCGAGGTCATGACATATCATACCTACATTTTTATACTATGTTTCCAATAATTTCTTATGAAATTTACTTCTTGACATCAATGGCCTCTATTTACACTTTGATTTTACTAATATTAACCAATAGAGGAAAGGATGCAAAATATAAGGATTGGTTCATATATTGTGATTGTATTAAAAAGTACTAAATAATGTAATACCATGGATATCCACTTTAAATTTTATGTATGTAAATGTATTGAATGATACTTTCGTATTCTATGGTGTTATACCATAGACACATACCAAATGAGTGAATGAACAAACTAAAATCAGGGAGATAACTTGCTCAGATAAAAGATTGTGGGATGAATTATTCATTAAGCAGATTGAATACCATTGTTCAATATATAGCTCAAACAAGATTTGGAGAGAAAGTTCATGAAATCCAACTCTGAAGAAACTGTTATCTTCAATAGAAATACTTTAACTCACAAATTAGCCTTTGACCTTATCAGAATTTTTATTGAAAATTTCATTTTAACAAATTTTTTAAACATGCATACTCCATACTTATAAAATTAAAAATAGAAAGTAATTCACAGTTCATATTATACAATATTAGAAAACACCATTAGCAACAATAGTTAAAAACATAACACACACACACAAGGAAAAGCAGTAAAGTAATAATCTTAAATAAATAATATGTACAATATTTTTATTATTTTTAAAAAACACTACAATGCAGTAACTCCAATTAAATCAATATTAAATTAATATCATGCGCGCGTGCAGTCTATTATTAGTTATTAGTATATTTTTTAAATAATCGTATTGAACGTAAATTATTGTTGCTGTTATTTACTAGAAGTATGATTATCGAAGTAATAGGAAAGCTGATAACTCGAAAACGTAATCAGTCATCACGGTCGTGGTGTAAGTGAGGAGAGAGAAAAAAAAGAAAGAGTATATATATATGTATAACACGCATAGCATGTATATATAGCGTACATCATTCGTACATAAATTATTTAGTACAATACGGTAGAGTCGTTTCAACTATGAAACTATGGAGCGTTCTCGCAGATATTTGAGACGCGTATCGCGTTAAAAGCATTACAATCGTTTATTTACGAGCATACGCTGTGTCCACGGCGTAACGCGTTCCATGTAGATGCCCGTACCTCGTATTCTGTCTTATTGCGCTTACATGTATATGTGTGTAGCTGCACGTAACATTGTGTGTGATCTCATGAATGCTGGGCCTAACATACATAGTACAACACACGAAACAATGTATGTAACAAGAGTTTATACACGTATATAATATACAAAACGTTGCAGCACGTTCGTACGTGTAGAAAATATTTGTTCGATCAACCAGGAAAATCTGGTTTTTGAATAGCATAGACTCTTATTTCACAGAAAAATTGACGAATGCGACATATTTTACGGGAGTTGGGAAAGTCCAAAACAGTCATTCTTGGATGCCACTCGTTTCAGAATACTCACCGTCAGCAAACGATCGACGAATTTCCGCAGATCCTTCATTGCACCACCATGTATTCTAAACCGTCTCCACACTACTTCACTGAACTTAACACACTACGGGCGGTCGAACGCAAACCCGTTTTACCCGCTGGGTATATCTTCTGGTTACCGTAACGCGTTCAAGACTAAAACTCGAAGTCTCGTGAACTGCTAATGCAGTAGGCACAGTATCACGAGTCGCAGCTTCCACGCACAAGTCGCAGCCGCATAAATCGGCCGTGTCACTTCATATTTGCGAAAAAATTCTGTTTACATTCGCCCAGAGGGACCCAGGAATAAATATATATGATACACATTCTAGGTAAAATACGTGCGATCAATCGACAGTGATACCAACATGTCAATGATCTATTGTGAGAAATCAAACGATATAGCGAAAACGATTAAATATATTTGTTGCACAATTCAGGGGAATAAAGGATCACTGAGGTGTTTGTAATTGTAAGTTTTAATCTTTTCAGAAAAATTATAACATAAAAAGCATAAAAAACGTATGTTTCGAACATTGTAGCTTGACGACATTGGCTGACGTCACAAGACGTCAAACGCCGCATTCTTGGAAATGTAGGCGCAGGCTTCATTGTTGACCGCAATATCTTTTACTAGGCGCCGTTTTTAAAACCACACGGATATTCATTTTTACATGTCCCTTTTTTTTAATGCGTTATACTTAGTAAATAGATCTTTAAGATTTATCGTTAGTTTCTATTAAAAATCACACTCAGCATTATTAATCGTAGATATTTATTATCGATACATGTATCAACAACGATTTAATGATCGTATAATAAAATTTTAGTAACAACATCGATTTATCAAATTCATTCGTGTCGTTGTAACCAACGTTTATCGACAGTAATAACATGTACAATATCGACTATTTATTTGTAATAAATACAAAACGCTTTGAAGAAATTATATAACTACACGGCAGTGACAAAATAAAGTTACATATTCGATGACAAAGTATCTTCAACTTGTAAGTACAGAATATATTGATTTTTAATAAATGTATGCAATGACCCTTGGCAAGAGATAAGATCGTAATGTAACTACAGAAGACATGGTTTCATTTTAATAGTCAAATTACAAAAATGGTCGATACATTTTGGTTGAAAAATTATTGCTTCGTTTATGAAGCTTATAGTTATCAGTAATGTCGTATAATTTTTTTAAAGGTGTATATATATGTATATATTTACAATTATTTTAAACTTGTTTAAAATATCCTACATAATATACAAATTGTATATGTGTATATATATTTTTAATTATAAAAAATAAACACAATAGCTATGATGTAGATAAAATGTGATCCACTTTAAATGCGATTACCGTTGTTTATCGTTGACATGATACACGGTAGAATTGCTTATTTAAGCAAACATGAACAGTGAAGCGCATATTCGAATGTTGTATCAAAGCGCTGATTTGTTTTACATTGGAGGAAATTGAAAAATATAATCTAATTCGCCTCTTATTTAATTCGAACACTACATTTTGCCGAACAATATTTTTTCCCTAGTCATCATTGACTTACTAGTAAAAAAATAGATTTATTAAGTTTTTTATACATTCAACATATTTTAATATCGCAAAAAGACCGGAAGAGGTTTCGATAAAACAAGTTCGTCCGATCTTACTCATGGTTTCCTTTCCACCATCATCTGTTTATTACAAATGTTATATCGTGTAATCAGTGAGGAAAAGATAACATTCCAAACAAAAGCTTTAAATAATTAATGCAGTAACATGTATTCTTTATACTGATCTTCTGCACCGCATCTCGAAATGGTTGATAAAGTGCATTTGCTTCTTTGGTTGTATCAGTACTTAATTTAATTATTGCTATACGCATATATTTCATACAGTTATAATAAATACTTAAAACGAAAACAATATCGACAATATTCTTCTTCAAATGCTGCTCAGAGAGTAGGGCAATAAAGTATCGATTAATAAAATTCAATGAGATTCTTAAAAAGTTATACACACATACTTAAAGTACATGATTTCATGATCAAGGCTGCCATAATGTCACATCGTAAATTTATCAAAACACTTTCGAATGTATACAATTACTAGAGATAATATGAAAATACTTGATTTGGTTGAAATTTTTCAGTCTGCGAGTCTTCTTAATTGAAAATTTGTCAGTGCAAAATCGTCTTCCTACACAGATATTAAAATAGTTGACTTCCGTATGCTTCATGGGTATCAATGCTATTTGCTATTACAAATAGATCGTACTCCATTAACATTCGCATGCTACCGTAATTTTTTTTACATTAATTCGCGCTTATATAATTAATTTCAATATATAAAAAATGCAAAACCGAGATTCGTATATAAGATTATATAAAAATCTCCGAAATAGGAGATTCTTATTTGTTCAAAAAGTTAATATTTAGTTTTATGAAATATTAACTTATCTAGGTGACTAAAATGTCATCATCGTTTACGTTAAATGCTTGTTTATCATAAATATCTATTTTTGGATGAACAGCAGTTGAGTAAAATGAAAAACCGAACTTTCTGACGTTTTTTAGGGTGCACACTCATCTCGTGTAATTTCAATAAATGCCTGCGTGGTGTGCCCTCATCAATCGGTCGAATACTTATTTGGTCGATTGTGAGATTACGCTACAATGAAGTTTAATAAAAAATTTATAATTGCTTCAGAAGCTTCAAGCTTTTTACTTAGTAATTTTGTTATTAAATATGGAACACGCGCAAGGCACAATACTTTCAAGCTATCACACGTGTTAGGATGAATTAATATCTTTCCTTTCAGAAATTAGATAATTTAAATACAGAGTTAGCACCAGTCCAATTTTGTTAGAATGAGCAAGTATCATCCCTATAAATCGGACTTTTTCACAAGTCACATTCATAGCTGCAAGAAAAGTCGTTCATACATTCCTTCCTCCAACTTAAAGTATATAAAAACTTCTTATTTTAATTATCAAAACATTACAATTAAAATGTAATTAATATTAATACCATTATAAAGTATAATTAATTCATTTCACTGAGAATCAACAACCATGTCCTCAGTATTCGTATTAATATTACCGAACTGCAATATGTATAATTTGAAGCTCTAGCATTCATGTAAATAATATTATCAAATATAAAAGCTGCACGACATGTGAGTGTTGTAAAAATTGATTTCGA